TTTTCACTGTAGGGCGCGTGCGCTCGCCAGACAGACAGAGAGAGACATAGAGACAGAAAGCGAGAAATCATCCCCCAGGGGGGATGGTCACGCCGCCATCCCTTCTCCTCCATTCTTCTCTCGGGATCTTGAGCACTCACGCACACGCACCCGCCCCGGCCTCCGGGACGCGACCCGGGGTCGACTACGTGGGAGTCCAGCGACATAGCCATTACGCTAACTGCTGGTTCCCCAGGACTGGCCACTTTTTAAATGTAGTTCTCTGAGGACCAGCAATTAGCATAACAGCTAACCTACTGGACTCCCACATGGGCGACTTCAGTTTGAGTCCTGGACTTGGTGGCTTGAAAATCACCCTGGGCACACGTGTGTGTATGTGGGTACTCAAAATCCCAAGAGAAGAAGGGAGTGTGACATGGCCATCGCCCGGGTGGCAGGGGGTGATTTCTCACTTTCCCTCTCTCTGTCTCTCTCTCCAGTGAGCACACGCACCCTATGGCAAAAAAAAAAAAAAAAAAAAAACCTTAAAATGTAGGGCTCTGAAATCCTCTCCTGCCCTCTCCTTCACCTACAAGTCAGATAGTCAGATAGTTACGCCAGGTAGTCAGTTCCAAAGGCTACCTGGGTTCTGATCCTGGCTCTAGCACTCTATAACGAACTCAGAGTTGTATAACCCTGGGCAGCAAACCCTGCATCTTTGCAGGAGGACTTCATTCTTCTGGGTGATAGGTCTCCCCTACTACCATCTTCCCTCAAGCCACTCAGCAGTGCTATTCAAAGGGAGAGATCACCAGGCCAGTGAGCCTCAGGGCTTGCCAGCCACAAGCAAATTACCAAGCAGTACTGACTCACCTCCAAAGCTGTGTGCTTCCAGGGCCCTGGAGGCTGTGCTGTGAGCTCCAGAGAATGTAATGAGGCCCTGTGAGCAAGCGCCAGGGTGCTGGCCCTGCCCCTCCAACCTCACCCAGGAACCAGGGCTCTCTCCTCTGTCACCTTTGCTTGCCTTTTAGTTAACCCTTGAAATGGCTCAGTCTGGAGGTCTGGGAAACCAAGCCAGATCCTGTAACCAGGGCGTTACTTCTCTTCTGCCTTTCTAAGGCCTCAGAGCAAACCTCCAGAAAAGACTGGGATGCTGTCACATACAGAAGGCTGTACGGACTAGAGTCAAAGGGAAAACGTCTCAGCATGGTCCCCGGGAGCTACGCCAGGGATGGCCCCAGGAAATCTGGTAAGGAAAGAGCCACAGCTCCAAGACACCAGAACGGTCTTCTATAATCCCTTCCTCTTAGAGGGACTGAAAGTGCACACCCACTTTAGAGGTCAGTAGCTCCTACAACTATCCACTGTACACACAGAAGTCAGAAACCCACACAGAGGCTCTTCAGGGATCAAACCAGGGGCTGCACTTGGCAAGCTTAGCATGACCTGGGTAGGAGCCTAGTGAAGGTCAAGCTCCTCCCACCCTTTGGTAGTTCCTTTTTCAGGTTCCTGGAGCTATTTAGGTGACATCAGCCTCATGAGTTCCAAATTATCTAATTAATTTAGATACTGTGACAATGTCATTATAGATGGGACCATACTGCTGCTGGTGTGAAACCTGTCGGGTGATGTTCACACCTAGGAAGAGGTGTGAACATCAGTCATAGTCAGTTTCAAAGGTTGCTTGGGTTCTGGTCCTGGCTCCAGCACTCTATAAGGAACTCGGAGTTGTATGACCCTGGGAAGGTCACTCTAACTTTGAGGGTCCAGTTTGCTCATCTGTAAAATGGGTCAATAACTAACACCACTTGCCTCATGGAACAGTTATGGGGCTTTGGTGAGATGATACATGTAAAGCCTGACACAGAGGAGGTACTGGATAAATGTTACTGCTATTTCTAAGTAAGAATTTTCCTAAAATGTGAGAGGGGCAGTACTAAGGTATTAGAAAAACAGACTAATAGTGTCTGGTCTCTTGGGATGGAGATGTATGGTAAAAGGGAACTCTTGAAAAGATTTGTTTTTTTTGGACAGGTTTTTGCTATAGGGCGCATGAGCTCGCCAGAAAGACAGAGACAGAGAGACAGAAAGCGAGAAATCACTCCCCGGGGGGATGGTCACGCTGCAATCCCTTCTCCTCCATTCTCCTCTTGGGATCTTGGGCATGGACGCACACGCACCTGGCGTGAGTTTAAGCTGCCGGGTCTGGGACTCGAACTATGGTCAACTACATGGGAGTCCAGCGACATAGCCATTATGCTAACTGCTGGGGTCCCATCTTGAAAAGATTCTAATTAGCACAAGGGAAAAGTGATCAGGGGCCTTCAAGCAGAAGCTGACAGTTTCTCCTATGCAAAATCACTCCCATTGTATCCAACAACAACAAAAAATCCTTTTTTCCCCTTTTTATTTATTACACCAAAGCCATTGCAATCAAACTGTAGTCACTTGCCTGTCAGATTTAAATATGACTGTCTTTAACTGCAGTGAAGGATCCTGGACTGGATCCTAGAACAGCATTTTAGTGGAAAAACTAGTGAAATCCAAAAGGCTCTTTAATGTACCAGTGTCAATCTCTTAGTTGACAAAGGTACCACGGTTATAGAAAACATTAACGTTCAGGGAAGCTTGATGAAGGCTATTCAGAAACCTGCTCTATATTCTTTACAACTTCTTTTATAAATTCATAAATATCCCAAAATAAAAAGTTTATTTAAAAAATAAAATTAGATTGGCTTATGCTCTATGAAAATCCATATAGCTTTTCTAAGATTTCTGTTATTTCCAGTGTCATCGTTGGCTTTAAAGTTGCTGAACCCTTGAATTTCTGCAGCTCTTGCTTCCAATGGATGTTCTCTTCTCCCTGTTCCATGCCAACCTCAGCACAGTTTATCCCTGTTCCCTAATTTCTCCACAGACCTCTTACATGAAGCCTTCATGGGTAAGCGGACTTTGCTGAAGGTTTGAGGGCAGCAGTGAAAGAATCACAATACAAACATATATAACAAACACACTAGAGGTTGATTAAAAGACCCTATTGTTCTTTAAAGTTCTTTGTCCGGTGCCAACAGAATATTTTTCCTGGCCACATTTCCCAGCAGAGGGTAACCTTCCTGATGTGTTTTTCACCTACAAGACTAGGATTAGGGTGAGATAAGCCAGACACCTAGGACACAAAATTTAAGGACATGTTCACTCTTGGGTGCTGACTCCACACACACTCGCACAAGTATGAGAGTAAGTATCTCCTTAAATTTCGCCCCTGGGCACCTCGTTTGCCTCATCCTACTCCCATTACTGCTTATTCTCTCTCTTTTCTCTCCCCTCTCCTCCTTCTTCTGGCTGCCACACGCCACACACTCCCATTGGCTTTTTATTTGAGAACTCTTTGTGTCATCAGTTTTTCTCTCTTTAATATCTTTAGTCTTTCTATTTCCCTCCATTTTTACCACTATTTTTAAAGTTTTGTTCTTTCTTTCTTTTAGAAGTGAGACAGAAAGAGACAGAGAAACAGCACCCTTAGCAGGGTTTGGACACCACAGTCTATCCTCACTCCAGCCATTCTTGAATAATGGAAACACACATGTCCAGCATACTCAGAGAGGTCTCCACAGGAGAAACCAAGACCTTCCCACATGGGTCAACCTCACAGAGCATTGTATCTTGTCCCTTCACCACCATCCAGCCGCAATTACTACCATTAGTATAGTTTAAGCTTGATCCTCTTCCCTGTGAGATCCTCCAACAGCTTTCAGCTTCTGCGACTGTCACATTGGTCTTTCTAACCTATGTGTGTCTTTAGATTTAAAGTATGTTTCCTCATGACATCACTAAAAGAAGTTAATTAAGTTCCAATAACTGATTCTGAAGAAATGGAGGAACCAGGTGATGCCGCAGTGGTAATACAACTGACACACATAGGACAGGTCTCGAATTCGTGTCCTAGAATGTATATGAGCACACCAGGCATACCAGGCATCCATGTGCCTATGACATGTGTCAGCTAAGACCGAGGTGCATTGCGGCATGGAGACGCTGCTGAAGCAGTGCCTGTCTCTCTGTCTCTCACTCTCTCTCTCTCTCTCTAATGGAAGAAATAAATTTACTTTTTATTACAAAAAATAAATGAGGATCTATGAACCAAGAATTCAGAATAGTTATCTTAAAGCATTTAAAGAGACTACAAAGAAACAGGCAACTAAATGAAACAGGAAAACAATACTTGAATAAATTGAGACAATTGAAAAAGTTCAATTAAAAAGAAAAGCTAAACAGAATTTCTAAAGCTAAAGCATACAATATCTGGGGACCAGCAGTTAGCATAATGGCTATGTCACTGGACTCCCATGTAGTTGACCGTGGTTGGCATCCCGGACCTGGTGGCTTAAAACACACCGGGCACGTGTGGATGCATGCCCAAGATCCTGAGAGGAGAATGGAGGGGAAGGGATTGCAGTGTGGCCATCCCCCCCCGGGGTGGGGGTGATTTCTCGCTTTCTGTCTCTCTGTCTTTCTCTGTCTGTCTGGCGAGCGCACCCTCCCTGTATCAAAAAATCTCTCCAAAAAAAAAAGAATACAATATCTGGAGCCAGTTCCATGGCTTAGTGGCTAAGGGTGCCAGTTCCCACATGGTCTCCTACACAGTTTAGATCCTGGCCCCTGCAGCTTGAAAACACACTGAGAGCACATGTGTACATGCCCAAAATCCCAACAGGGATGAGAAATGGAGGAGAAAGGATTGTAATGTGCCCACGCCCAATTGTGGAGGACTTTCTTCCTCTCCCTCTGTCTCTATCTCTCTCTCTCTCTGGTGAGTACTCGTGTTCTCTTATAAGCTAAAAAAAATTATAATACAATGCCTGAACTAAAAAATTTAGTAGAATTCTTCAGAAATATGTAACTATGGTAAATATTTATGCAACAAATATCGGAGGGCCCAAATACATTAAACAAAGACTGCTAGAGGTAAAGGGGAGACTAACTGTAGGAGACTAATCGTTGGGAATGTCAACACTCCATTCTCACCATTGGACAGGTCAACTATACAAAAAAATAGACACTGGAGCTAAATGATTCCATAAATCAAATGGACTAGACAGGCATTTATAGAATATTTTATCCAGCAACTATAAAATGATACATTTTCATCAATCCCACAGAGAACATTTTCAGATTGATCAAATAATGGAACAAAATGTGGATCTTTCAAAAACACAACAAATGGATCTTTCAAAAATATATGAATATATGAAAACCAAACAATTTATTCTGGAATAACTTTAAAACTACTGAAGAAATTAAGAATAAGTTTTAAAATTTTCTTGAAACAAATGATAACAAAACACAAATCTCAAAAATCTTTGGGATACAGGGAAAGCAGTGCTAAGCAGGAAGTTTATTGCAACTAGTACTCGAAAGAAAAAAATAGAAAGATGGCAGATAAATAATTTAACAATGTAGTTCAAGAAACTGGAAACGCAAGAACAAAAAAAGTAATAATAAAGAAAATGAGGGACCAGCAGTTAGCGTAATGGCTATGTCGCTGGACTCCCATGTAGTCAACCACAGTTCGAGTCCCGGACCCGGCGGCTTAAACTCACGCCGGGCGCGTGTGCGTGCGTGACCAAGATCCTGAGAGGAGAATGGTGGAGAAGAGATTGCGGCGTGGCCATCCCCCCAGGGGGGTGATTTCTCGCTTTCTATCTCTCTGTCTCTCTCTGTCTGTATGGCGAGTGCACGCGCCCTATAGCAAAAACCTCTCCAAAAAAAAAGAAAAAGAAAAATTAGAGCAGAAATAAGTGAAATAGAGGAAAAAGAGCAATACAAAAAATAAAATAAATTAAAAAGATAAAATTGAAAACCTATTAGCTAGACTAAGAAAAATAGAGAAAGGGCCCAGATAAATAAAACAAAAAATGGAAAAGGTGATATTATAGCATATATTACAGAAATATACAAGATTTTTTTGAGAGGTTTTTGCTATAGGGTGCATGCTCTCATCAGAAAAACAGAGACACAGAGATAGAAAGATCTCTTCTTGGGATCTTGGGCACGCATGCACACTCACCCAGCGTGAGTTTAAACTGGGTCCAGGACCCGAACTGCAGTCGGCTACATGGGAGTTCAGTGACATAGCCATTACACAAACTGCTGGTCCCGAAATATACAAGATTTTTAAAGAATACTATAAACAACTATACATCAACAAGTTCAAAATTCTAGAAGAGATAGACACATACAATATACCTA